AGAAAAATAACTATTAAATATTTATAAGAAAAATCAAATATGTAATTATTTAAAGGAATATATTTATCTTAAGCCCTACTGACTTTGTAGTTATTTTCAACTCATATATTTTATTTTAACTTGAAAATAAGGTACGTTAAAAAGAACTATTACCTTTAAAATAAATTTATAGATTTTGTAATTATAATTAGACCATTTTTTTACTTAAGCTTGCAAATAAGAGTATGGACAAAGGAATATTACAATTAAAATAACATTATAAGAAGTCGTTTTACAATTTTAGATGTGTAATATTTTTTAAACAGAAAACATGACATTAAATATTTATAAGAATTTTTTGTTCTTGTATTTTAATTTCTAGGAAAATCGTATTAAATAATTTTTAGTATTTATTATTTTAATCCCACGTTTAAACAAAAATACTATTATTAAATAATTATTTATATGGAAATATATTTTTTAAAGTTTTTTAAAGACTTTTTAAAAAAGGAAAACAAATTTAAAAAAAAATCTTTAAGATTTTTTTTAAAAAGTAAAATTAACTATTAAATTGATTATTTATTCAATTTTATAAATTTAATACATTTTTAACAGAAATATTATTAAATACTTTTAAGAGAAATATTTGGTGATAAATTTACAAATGTGATCGACCTTATATTCAAATAATATTTAGTATTTTATAACTATCTCAAACCCACAACAATAAACATATATTATTAAATAATTATGATTTATATGAAAATGTAATGTTTTACAGTTTTTTGCTTAAGATATTTTTGTAAAAAAATAATGTTAACTTTTAAATTATTTTAGTCAAAGTTTTTCTTTAAAAAGACTATCATTTAACACATGTCATAATCTTAAATATATAATTGTCATGTGTGTGATCTTGTTAATTAACAAATTTGAAACCAAGCTTTATAAATAAGAAAGTTTTTTTGTTTAAATTTATTTTTAAAAAGAAAACTAACTTTAAAATCTATTAGTTATTTTTTTATAAAACTTATTTAACACATGTTATAATCTTAAATATATTGCCATATGTCCCCGATTATGTTAATTAGCAACTTGAAAAACTAAGTTTTATATAATGACATGTGTCAAAAAATATAATACAAATATCTTTTGTTTAGGATTTACAGTCGAAAAATTATTATTACAAAAATCAAAAGTTTTTATGATTTCTTTTATGATTTTAGAAAAGAAAAATTACTATACATAATATTTTACCATTATTTGTATTAGTATTTAAAATAAATTATTAGTAAATAATTATTTCAGTAAATATGAAATAGTTTTTTAAAAGTGGAATTTTTCCACTTCGTTTTTAATATCTCTACATATTTTACAATTTCTTTTTGTTATGTAAACTGGCTTTAGTATTATGTTTTTCATCAACTTCTTAAAATAAAAAATTAATTAAATTATATAATTAAATTTTGTCAAGATTTAAAAAGAAATATAATAATAATTCTCTTTTGGTTTTAAAAAAAGAGAAATCAACTCTTTAGATTATTTTTATATTCTTTTGGTCTATGTTTTTTTTAATGAAAAAACTGTTATTTAATACATGTCATGATCTTAAATATTTAATGTAATGTGCCAGGATCATGCTAATTAGCAACTTTTAAAAACTAAATTTGGAATTACCTTAAACCTTGTTTTTAAAAAGAAATACTATTATTAAAATTTTATTTAGGGCGAATCTACAAAAAACAAATTTTTAAGTTTATGTCACAAAATAGCGCTGAATAACTAAAATGACCAAAATAATATTTTATCTTTTGAAATTTTTAAAATTTTTTTTTTAAAGAATTGAAATCTTATTCCCAAAACCCCCACTCCCCAACTCTAAATCTCAAAACCTAAATCCTAAACCCTAAACCCTAAACTCTAAACCCTAAATCCCACCTCTTAACTCTAAACCCTAATGTCTAAATTAATTTATCATTGGGATATATGTGTATATTTATCTCTTTTGATAAAATATTAAGTATTATTTTGGTCATTTTTATTCTTAAGTGCTATATTTGTGACAAAAACTTTTTTAGTCATATCCTAGTCATTTTCTCTTTTATTTATATCAAAATATTAAAAAATAGATGTTTCTATATCCAACATTTTTACTTTCTTTATAGAGAAATTGCCAGAAATAACACTTTCAAGATACCACTTTCCAAGTTTACACTAACCAACTTTACCATTAAAATTTTAATAGTTAAAATACTATTAGAATTTAGGGTTTTGGGTTTTGGGTTTATGATTGATAGCTTAGGGTTTAGTGTTGATTTTTTAGGGTTTAGGGTTTACTTTTTAGGGTTTAGAGTTTAGGGTTTAAGGTTTAGAATTGATATTTTAGGGTTTAGGGTTGATTTTTAGGGTTTAAGGTTTACTTTTTAGGGTCTAGAGTTTAAAATTGTTGTTTTAGGGTTTAGGGTTAATATTTTATTTAATATTTATTTTATATATATATATATATATATATATATATATATAAAGAACAAGGATATAAGAGTCTTTATCCTTTAATAAAATGTGCTTTTTTGAAAATGTTCCTTTGTTGATGGTAAACATGAAAAGTGGTACCACCAAAGTGGTATAGTTGAAATTCTCCTTTCTTTATATGTATTCAAGTTTGGCTATATTCATATAAAATATTATAATTCTCATTGGTTTAATATTTTAAACAGGGAAAATACTATTAAATATTTATAAGAAAAATATTTTGTAAATATTTTAATTTGTATAGAAATTTATCTTATAATAATTTTTATTGTTAATTATCTTAGACTATGTTTTAAAAAGAAATGATATTGTTAAAATTTTATTTATTTGGAAATATTAAAAAAACATTCTTTGTTTAAGAATTTTTATAAAGGAAAATTATCTTTTTATATTCTTTTGGTTTAAGTTTTTTATAAAAGAAAAAAATTTTATTTAACACATATTATAATATTAAATATATAATTGCCATTTATCGTAGTCATATTAATTAGCAACTTTGAAAAACCAAGCTTGTAATTATCTTAAACCCATGTTTAAAAAAAAGAAATACCTTTGTTAAAAATTTATTTGTAGGGAAATACTAAAAAAAACGTTTTTGTATAAGAATTTTAAAAAAAGGAAAGTTAAATTTTTAGATTGTTTTTATATTCTTTTGGTTTAAGTTTTTTTAAAAAAAACATGTTTAATACATGTCATAATCTTAAATATATAATGTCCATGTTTCATAATCATCTTAATTAGTAACCTTAAAAAATACTACTATTAAATATTATTTATATGAAAATATAATTTTACATTTTTTGTTTAAGATTGTTTAAAAAAAGGAAACTAACTTTTTAAACTTTACGTTTAAGATTTTTTTAAAAAGTAAAACTAACTATTAAATTATTTTGGTTTAAGTTTTTTTTTTTAAAAAATTGTTATTGAACCCATGTCATAATCTTAAACATAGAATTTTCATATGTCGCATCATGTTAATTAGTAACTTTGAAAACCAAATTTTATATAATAAAATTTGTACTCATGTTTTAATAGTTTAGATAAAAGCAATCCCGTTAAGCAACCTGGTTAATCATGGTCTCATGGAGGTAGGATGGTCAGTTGCTCAGATCTTCGAAACCTGATAATCTTATTGATACGTTGAAAAAGCTAGACTCCCAAGAAGCCTTTAAAACTTGTGATCAAATGTATTCAATGCAATCATACGTAAGTACGTACTTGGGCCTATATTTAGACCCTCCGTTACACTTTTGTATGAAAGCTCGACATGTATGATTCACTGGATTTGTAGGAGCTTTGTGAGGTCATAAGAGTAAGAATTCAACTGGTCCAGTCTTGATCAGGGATTGAACTTACCAAACACTAAACTAAATGCTAAGAAATTTATCGAAAAAGACACTGTTCTGTAATCCTAAACATAAATATACAAGTTATATCTTTCAAAAACCATCTGATTTAAAGCAAGGCAACACTTTCAATATATCACTTTTCAACTTTACACTAATCAACTTTACCATTAAAATTTTAATAGTCAAAATACTATTAGAATTTAGGGTTTAGGGTTTTGGGTTTAGGATTGATAGTTTAGGGTTTAGTGTTGATTTTTTAGGGTTTAGGGTTTACCTTTTAGGGTTTAGAGTTTAGGGTTTAAGGTTTAGAATTGATATTTTAGGGTTTATGGTTGATTTTTAGGGTTTAGGATTTACTTTTTAGGGTCTAGAGTTTAGAATTGATGTTTTAGTATTTAGGGTTAATATTTTATTTATATTTATTTTATGTATATATATAAAAAACAAGAATATAAAAGTCTTTTATCTTTTAATAAAATGTGTATTTTTGAAAATGTTCCTTTGTTGATGGTACCACCAAAGTGGTGGTGGTACCACCAAAGTGGTACCACCAAAGTGGTATAACTGAAATTCTTCTCGTCAATGTCAAAAGTCAATTTGTTATTGTTATGCACTCGCACGGAACCCTCCATATTTGCATTGTTAGACCATCTCCAATGGGGGTTCTATCCCATTAAAGTTCTAAAATCAAATATGTGTGTATGTATGTATTATATATATGTATGTAATTGTAGGGTCCATTAAATAATGTAGAACCCTATCCAAAAGTTCTAAAACTTTTGGATAGGGTTCTACATTATTTAATGGACCCTACAATTACATACATATATATAATACATACATACATATATGGTTTTAGAACTTCAATGGGATAGAACCCCCATTGGAGATGGTCTTAGGATAGAAAGATTAAAAGATATTTAAGCAACAAAAAAAAAAAAAAAAAGATTACAAGGTACACTAGTAGTCATTGTATATATCTGTTTTGAAAAGTCTATAAGATAAATGGTTTTGTATTTGTACGAATGAAACAAGTTGATCTGTCTCATTCAATACCTCGTCAGAGTATTTAATAAAATAATATTGAAACCCTCTGTTTACACATGAGCACGATAAAAGTCCAGTCTTTAGTTTCCTACAGATCAAGTAAAGATGATGAACAGGAAGATGCTACTCGTTGCAGCGTCGATCATCTTAAATCTCGTTTTGATCATTCATTTTCTTCATAACAACTCAAGCACATGGACTCTGTCGTGGACTAATAGAGCCGCCGAGGAGGCAGAGGATGCAGCTTCTGTTTCATGCTCAGGCCACGGCAGAGCTTATGTGGACGGTCTAGGTGTCCTTGACGGTAATAAAGCTCCTTGTGAATGCAACAACTGCTACACAGGCAAAGACTGTTCCTTTCTTCTCCCAGATTGTCATGCCGCTGCTAACTCGTACGCAACAAGTTTTGATTAATTCTCTTTTTTTTTCTATGCTATCATGATGACCAAATCTATAAAGTTTGGATTGAGTTTTTAGTATTTGCTTTTTCTTTGCGGATTTTTGAAGAGGAGACCCTTTGTTCTTGGAGCCATTCTGGATGCGAAACGCAGAGGGGAGTGCGGTTGTTGAGTCCGGATGGCACAGGATGAGTTATCATTTTTACGAAGATGGCTCATATGTATCAGCAGAGCTCGAGCGGATCATTAGGAAGCTGCATAACGTAGTCGGAAATGCAGTTACAGATAACAGATTCGTAATCTTTGGAACCGGAGCCACGCAGTTGATTGCAGCCTCTGTTCATGCTTTGTCTCAGACAAACTCATCATCTCCTACAAGACTTGTGTCTGCTATTCCATACTACAACGTAAACCAAGAAGATCTGTTCTTGGCTTTATGCATGTAACAAACTAACTGAGTGGATGGTTCTGATCAGTCTCCTGTGTGTGTAGGTGTACAAAGAACAAACTGTCTTCTTTAATTACGCAAATCTTAAGTTTGGAGGAGACGCGTCTGCGTGGAAGATGAGCAAGCACAATGATAATATGACACAAGTAATAGAGATAGTAACATCTCCTAATAATCCAGATGGGAAGCTGAAAAGAGCGGTTCTCGATGGTCCTAATGTCAAAACAATTCATGATTACGCCTATTACTGGCCTCATTTCTCGCCTATAACGCATCCTGCTGATGAGGATTTGAGCTTGTTTAGTCTCACAAAGACTACAGGTCATGCTGGCTCCAGATTCGGGTTATTTACTTTCTGCCCTCTCTTAGTCCTCTCGGATTTTTGATTGGTCATAACAATTTTTTTTTTCAGATGGGCATTGGTAAAGGACGAAGCTGTTTATGAAAGAATGAAAAGGTATTTAACTTTAAGTAGTATGGGAGTTTCAAGAGATACACAGCTTCGTGCTCTGCAGTTGCTCAAAGTAGTAGTTGGAGATGGAGGCGAGGGGATATTCCATTTTGGTTATGAAACAATGAAGAAGAGATTGGAGGTATTAAACAAGACCTTGTCCATGTCCACACGCTTTTCGCTCGAGACAATCAAACCTCAGTACTGCAACTATTTCAAGAAACTCAGAGACTTTACTCCTTGTAAGTTTTTTTTTTTTTTTTTGCAAGAAAGTGATATTGTGGTTTGGTACTATCTAAAAAATCATAAATTGTTTGCTTTTTTTTTTTTTTTCATTTACAAGCTTATGCGTGGGTGAAGTGTGAGAGATTAGAAGATACAAACTGCTTTGAGATATTCAGAGCGGCTAAGATAATAGGACGAGAGGGAAAAGTGTTTGGATCAGAGGAACGTTTTGTTCGATTAAGTCTCATCAGAACACAAGACGACTTTGATCAGCTTATTGATCTACTGAAGAAGTTAGTCTCCCGGGAAGTTGTACGAGCTGACTCCATCTAAAAACTCCATGTTGTGATCAGATGTCTTGATTTCCATCATATGAAATAAGTATTATGCCCATTCTATGACAGCTTTGTGATTGTTGTGAACAATGAAATATTTTCAGTTCAATCGTTGGGTAGAATCCGAAAAACCAGTCCCAATTATATTAGTAAACGTTTAACTTCATGCAGTGATTCTCAGCTAAAGGCAAATCCGTGCTCCGCTTTAGTGCCACACAATCAACTCAAGTCAAAGCTTAGAAACAGGATGAAGAAATGTTGTTTTGTTTTTGTCAAACGGCACGGCATGAAACCTATTCAAATTTTTAAGATAAATTACTTTGTTTTCTGGGCTAAAGTAAAAATAACATTCTATAACACTATTTGTCACATAACTTGGGCCGAGTAAAAGAACTAAATTTGGCCCAATTGTATCCAGTTTATAAAAGGACCACGAAAGAAACCCTAGTTGTTCGAATCCATTTGAGCGAATACCGACGGCGAGAGCTTCTCATCTTTTCTCTCAGGCAGTTCTACTCTTCGGATCAAACGATGGTAACTAGGTGTTTCTTTTCCCTTTTGCTCACTTAGCTATCTCTTAGATCTCAGTCCTTGGTTCACGATCTGTAATTTTATAGCTTGCCGTTTATTCCGTTTGAATCCAGCGAATAACTTAGTATTTTTTTTTTTTTCGATTATCATGTAAAAGATTTGAGTTATTTTGTGATTGTTGCTGTGTAGTCTCTAGTTGCGAACGAGGAGTTCCAGCACATTCTGCGTGTGCTCAACACTAACGTTGATGGCAAGCAAAAGATCATGTTCGCCCTTACCTCCATCAAGGGTATTGGAAGGAGATTGGCCAACATTGTCTGCAAGAAAGCTGATGTTGACATGAACAAGAGGTATGTTTGTTATTGATCTTCTCTTTACATCGAAGATAGTAGTGTTGTGTCTTTGTTTTTTTCTGTAAGTTCGAAGTCATGTGATATGGATTATGTTTCCACTTCTGTTGTCTTAACTGTCTCTAAATGAACATGTTTTAGTCAAGACATTTTCTTTTATTATGGTTCTTCTGACTTTGCGGCTTTGTTTTGTTAGTGAAACATGAGAATTGTAGAATAGTCAGGGCTTTGTATGTTCATCGAAAAGTTGTGTATTGTATCTGATGGGCTTGTGTTATGATCTCCAATTTAAGGGCTGGTGAGTTGTCTGCAGCTGAGATTGACAACCTTATGACCATCGTTGCAAACCCAAAGCAGTACAAGATCCCAGACTGGTTCTTGAACAGACAGAAGGACTACAAGGATGGAAAGTACTCTCAGGTTGTTTCTAATGCCCTCGACATGAAGCTTAGGGATGATCTTGAACGTCTCAAGAAGATCAGGTAAAAATCACACTGATCCCAATCATAACAAGCTCGTTTTCACTCTCTTTTCATGTGGTTTGAATTGGTTGTTTCATTTTCTTTGACAATGAGCAGGAACCACCGTGGTCTGAGACACTACTGGGGTCTCCGGGTCCGCGGACAACACACCAAGACAACTGGTCGCAGAGGAAAGACTGTTGGTGTCTCTAAGAAGCGTTAAGACAATGATGCTAGCTGCGGCTGGATTGGATCTTTGATAAGAACCGGTTTTAAGTTTTTCTTGTTTCGTACAATTTTGTAAGACTCAAAAGACTCGGTTTTGGCTCAGTGCCATCTTTTGTTTTCCTTCTCTAGTAACATCTTTTGTTTTCGTTAGTAAGAGTATTCAATGTTCGTCGCATTTCTGTTTTGGTAGAAGACCGAGTATTTGTTTCGGTTTTAAAAGAGTCTAGGTGTTTTGCCCGCCCTGCTGGTTTAAGCCTTTTATAACTATTTGTTAGTAAATATATTAATAATAAAAAATTAGAAGCATAAATTATTATTTGTGTTTTTGTTTTGAAATTTTTTTATTTATCTTAAAAATTATTCTATATTATCTTTTCAATTATATAAAATTAAGAATTTTAATTAATTAATATGTAATTATTTGTTTTCTGCTTTTGAATTTTTAAATATTTTATCAAAAGATAGTTTTCGGATAACAATACAATATATATAGGAATTATCTTTAAAAATAAAATATATTTTTAGATTTTGGATAACTCTTATTGTTATTATTTAAAATACCTTATCTAATTAAATAAATTTAAATTTTATCTTTAAAAATAAAATATATTTTTAGATTTTGGATAACTCTTATTGTTATTATTTAAAATAACTTATCTAATTAAATAAATTTAAATTTCGTTTTTAATCATAAATTTTTTGTTATATATAAAAATTTCATTAAGGGTAAAATAGATATTAACCGCTCTAACGTTTAACGTGGGAGCTCCGTTGCGAAGTGATTTTTAAATATTTTATCAAAAGATAGTTTTCGGATAACAATACAAAATATATAGGAATTATCTTTAAAAATAAAATATATTTTTATAGATTTTAGATAACTCTTATTATTATTATTTAAAATAACTTATCTAATTAAATAAATTTAAATTTTATCTATAAAAATAAAATATATTTTTAGATTTTGGATAACTCTTATTGTTATTATTTAAAATAACTCATCTAATTAAATAAATTTAAATTTCGTTTTTAATCATAAATTTTTTTTGTATATAAAAATTTCATTAAGGTTAAAATAGATATTAACCGCTCTAACTTTTAACGTGGGAGCTCCGTTGCGAAAAATCAATTCGTAAATAATAGTATAGATTTCATATATTATTATTAACTATCCGTTGTTACAACTGTAAAAGAATGATTCTTCTAAAACATTACAAAACAATCTCAATCGTCAATCTCAATCGTCTACGAGGATCATAAATAAATTAAGCTAAAACCATAAATCAAAAACAGACAACTCCAAACAGAGATGTAGTAGATATGTGATGTTCCTGATCATATTCTAACTACTACTAGGCTTTGTCTTCATTGTCATCAGAATCAGAAGCAGCTCCAAGTTTCTGTTGACGAGTCGTAGGAAGTGAATAGCTTCGTCTCTCTTTGCCTCCTGGCTTGGAAGAGGCGTTACCGTACCAGATCATACCAAGTACTGCAATGACCATTCCAATAACCACGTGCAAGTTTAGACCTTCTCTACCAAAGAAGAAGAATCCCATTACCAGCACCAGGATTGTCTTCATGTGTCCAAGGACTTGAAACGATACGGCTGTGAATCTACCGATGCAGATGAACTGGCTTAGGTTGGTGCCGATAGCTATTGTGCACGAGAGGGTTATAAACAGCTGGAGAATTAAAAAAAAACTTGTTATGTTTTGATTGAATATCTATACCCTGTTCGTACACCACGCATCATAATCAGATAAGCTATTGAGGTTTAAGGCGCTTACCACGGAGACCAAGTTGTAGTCGAACATGTCAACTCTTTTTTCTGTGAGCCAATAATCAAGAAATGGACCAAGAACCAGCAGTGTTGCGGCTTGGGCTGGTGCGGTATGTCCCAATAGGTTGAATGAGCTAAGCGAGTAGTTGCGCTGAAGGTAATGTACATACTGCGCCCATGTGTAAAAACCACCAATACTATTAGTGTTGAGGTGAAAATGAATAGAAGATTAGTATTGTAAGAGGTGTGAGAAGAGTTACGTATTGTTGCAGAGAAGTAGTCCAGACGGCAACAAAAGCGGCAAGAAAGCCTTTGCTATTCACACTAACATCAGTGACAGTGCAAACACCAACACCAACAAGAACGAGTCCTATGCTAAGCTTGGTGTCTCTGGAGTAACGGATCTTATCTAACACCATTTCCAACAAGCAGGATACAGGAATCATGCTGAGCTTTGCAATCTGACAAGCAACACAGAACCAAAGAATAGGTGTCATGCTTAAAATAACGCAATTGCAGAGGTAGAGAGATAGATAACCTGATAAAAGCCGACAGAGTTCCACATAAGACTGACGTTCATTCCAACAATGGAGAAGTTTGCAAAGAAAATAAACCTGAGAAGCTCGGTAAAAGGAAGATGGGAAGGCTGAATGTAACCAAGGCATCTTAGAACAATCGTCATCAGAGTAGTGAAAGCGAAATGTAAACCGGTTAAGGTTGTAGCTGGAGACATAAATAAGTAAGAAAACAAAAATAATAACATAAATGAAAAGAAGAGAGAGAGAGAGAGAGAGAGAGAGGGTTGATTACCAAAGCTATAACCATAAGTGGCCATTAAGGCTTTATTGACAATAATGATACCAACAGAAGTGACAACATTGAACATCCAGGCAGCAGCATCTGCTGCTGTTTTCTTCTCGGCTTTACTCACAGGAGCCATTGTTTCTCTCTTCCTCTAAATCTCTACTTTCTTCGTCAATTTCCCATTCTGCAGAGACACTCACTCTCTTTCCGCTACTGGATTAAGATGATAGAGAAAATCAGTAGGAAGCACTTTAGCTTAAAACTAGATTATATCTACGACTTCGATCAATTTCAATCAGATCCGACTCCGACAAAATTTGAATTCGGAGAGAATCTCCCGTAAGATCTAAGACCATGGATCAATTCCCGAATTCCATCTCTTTCCTTTATATCGACACAAATTCAAAATAAAACGAAGAAGAATCCGTCAATAACGGAGTGAAATTACCTTAACTCTCAAGACACGAATCGGAAATGAATGAGGCGGACGTGATCGGAGCAGAGCACCGGCGCCGGAGACGGAAAGAGAGTGGTCACTGATATGAATAAATATTTCTTTTTTTTCAAAAAAAAAAAGAGTAATAATCTTAAGAAAAAAGTCAGTTGGGCAGCGTAGGGCTCGTGGAGCGATACGAGTAGTTGTCAGCCTCCAGTAATTTCGTTTCTTTTTTTTTTTCTTTTTTTATCCAATCATAGTTTTAAGAGTTTTTTTTTTGACAGTTTTTAAGTTTTTATATCACTAAAAAACAGCTTTTATTCCTAACACACTTTTTTTAACTCATTTTTTTTTTCTAACTAAAACACAACTAAGATGTAACTAATAGGATCCACACATTAATATCATCATCTTCACCATTTTTTAGTCTCATAGTGATGACTTAACGCGACAAAAAACGACAGTGAGGAAAACAGTGCCATTGCAAGCAGCCAGAGAACTCCATCGTGAATTGAAAAACAAAGCATGACGGAGCGACCGGAATTTTTTTTTTGATAACGACCTCAAACCACGAGCTCCATTCTGACTAGATCTATCATAATCCGTATTATTTCCTCCTAATTATGGTCGTCATGCTCGGAATCAGAGTTGTGGCTGCCGGAATATTCATCGCTTTTGTCTCAAATCAAAGAAAAAGCTTTCACTACATCAACAATGGTCATTTTTGGTTATTTTCAGATTTGGTCCTCCAACTCTTACTTGTTCTCTAATTTGTCTCAAACTTTTAATATGTTCAAGTTTTTTTAACAAATTTACTCCGAGAATTTTAATTATGCAATCAGGACCAAACGATTATTATTTCATTTTTATCCCAATTTTTCCGGATTTGCAGATAATTTTTTTTGATTTGGTTCTATTCCAAATCGTGTACACATTTCCATATATAATATTTAATTGTGTGTACACGTTTACATATGTAAATAAACTGTGTGTACACGTTAACATATATACATAAATAGTGTATATATTTATATATGTACCTAAATATATCAAAAGAAAAAAATATTAGATATGAATAATAAACAAAATCATGTGTATACTTATTGTCATGTAAAAAAAATCCGATAACACACCAAATTATGTCTACACTTATAAAAACAAATCCGGTTTGGAAAAGTATCCAAATTATACTATTTAAATTGTGTGTACACATTTGTGTATGTGCATAAATGGTGTACATATGTACAATAATATTATTTGTGTACACATGGTTGTTGCAGAGATGAGAAGATTATATACTAGTAAGAGTGTAAATCTCAGTTAAAATTTCCACAAGTACAATGTTTTAGTGATATATATGTGTACATTTACATGTCCATATGTACAAAAGGGTGTGTGCCTCCTTGTTGTACATCAGTTTACATATCTACATGTACATCAGTTAAAATTTCCACAAGTACAATGTATGCGAATATGGACTATCTATTATGGAGGAAGAAGGCCATAGGCGGGCCAGAACTAGACAGGGACCCTTATCGTTGGCTAATATGGTACAACTGGAAGGCTAGGAACGATAAGTTGTTCAGAGGAATAGACAGAGACCCTCTGGAACTAGCCCGGTATGCGGAGAGTGAGCGTATTGCCTGGTTCCAAGTAAATGAGCAGGGAATTGAGATATCAGAAGAAAGCAGAGATGCTGAACGTCATGTCATATGCCTACGAGATATTTACATGATAGACGGTTCTTGGATCTCTATAGATCAATTCTCAGGATGTGGCTGGGAATGGAAGGATAACACGGGAAATACTCAACTGATGGGTTTGCCTAATGTTAGTAGGGTGGAGTCGGCTTTGCATTCGGAGCTGGAAGCACTGCGGTGGGCAATGGAGAATATGCTTCAACATTTGTCATGTCAGAGCTTTGGGACGGACTGCAAGGAGTTGATAGCGATGCTCTCAAACCCCCATGAATGGGCAAGCTTTTCGACGGAACTGGAGAGGCTATTGACGCTGAGAATTTGTTTCCCAGACTTCAATATAGTTTATGTGCCTAGGTCTCGAAATGTTGTGTCCGATCGTTTAGCTAAGACTGCACGATCTTTCTATCGTGAGCTGATGTATGTTGGTTGTTCTATTCCGGTCTGGATTCCCAGACCACCTCAAGCTTGAGTAATAGATCAGCCTTTCGTTGTCAAAAAAAAAAAACACAAGTACAATGTTTTAGTGATATATATGTGTACATTAACATATCCATATGTACAAAAGGGTGTGTGCCTCCTTGTTGTACATCAGTTTACATATCCACATGTATAAAAGGGTGTTCAGTCTTTCTTCCTTAGAAATTCTTCCTGTGAAGATAAAACAAAAAAATTGTGTATAAATTGACTCAAGAAATGTAAAAAGATAACTTAATTTAATTATGAAAAATATGGTGTGTAGAATTAAAAAGCCTGAAATCAATTTGAAAAGGTATATTTGCAAATAAAAAACACATTGGTGAGAAATGAATATATTCAAATGTGTAGGGACTAAATGTGCAATAAAATTGAAATTGGCCATTGTTTCTCATCGAGCTTTTGCAACGAAGAAAGGTGGCGTAATGGATGAGATGAAAGCGGCGAGACATAGTCGACGACGAGAACAAGAAGGAGACAACGAAAGCAACAATGTGAAGGCGAAAGCGGCGACGAGAAGAAGGCAAAGATGAAATGGAGACATAGGTGGTACTATTGCGACAGAAGAAAGGCTTGTACACATGACGATGATGTTGTAACCATGGATCTCTTTTTTAAAAAAAAAATCATGGATTTCTATCTTTTCAAATTTGAGATTTACAAAAGATAATTTATCAGTAGTTTTCTGTAACCATGAAAAGAAAATAGAAGAAGATAAGAACAAAGAAAGAAAAAAAAGATTAGAAAATGTTTTAAGAAATAAGAGAAATATATGGTGGAGGTTAGTTCCTCATATAATAATAGTTTAGTTTTTTAGTTGTTTAGTTAAAGAGTGACAAGAAGAAAATGATCTGTTAGAATAAAGTGTGTTGGTATAACAAACTGCTTCTGAGTGTTATAAATAACTTGAAATTGCCTCTCAGTGTAATATTTTCTAGTTTTAAATCCGTTTTTTTGCCAAAATAACAAAAAAAAGTAATTTGCTGAAAGAGATCAATACTATTAAATTTGGAATATGTCTAATTGATAAAAAGTTGTGTCTCACAATTTATTATAATATAAAGTTAATCTCTTATGACCTATAAGTATATTGTCTTCAAATTTTTATATACAGATTCCTGTAAGTAGATAAACTATTCGTTTTTCTGAGAATTTTGAAAATGAAGTCTAAATAACAATTTTCTTTTCTATACTAAACTAATATATAGAGAAATCAAGTATGCAATAAATAATGTCAATATGAAGAAGCCTAGAAAATTAAAGAGCAAAACCGATGGATGTCCGAGTTAAAACCCCACTGGTTACACGGATATGGGTTACTGCTTTCGACCCATTTGAATGCCCAAGAGAGAGTCTATCGGGGGACTGTACTTCCACAAGAAGATTAGGTCTGTGTCTTTAATTGATCCGGGTTTAATCCTTTTAGTTTACAAAAAAAAAAAAACGATGGCTGAGTGCGTGCATCCAAACATAAATTTATAACACTCCTCAACGAAGACAAAACGTGCAATAAATCATTTTAAGTAAATAATATAACCGTAACCCATTAACCCTATATTATATGAGAGATAATAGATATATCACAACAAGAAATTATAATAGGTTAACTTCGACCATCAATTCACGTGCTATATCAATATCAACATTGTTAAAAACAAAAGAGAATTTTACACTCAAGGTCACTTTATGACTTTGTGTTACACCATAAGTCACTTATTACTCTTAAGGTACTTTTGAGTAACTTTTATCTCTATTCACCTAACTAGACGTAACACTACATAAAGATTCCAGTTATCTTTATTTCTGTTTTCTTTTATTTTAATTATGTTTACTAAAAACAATATGACTTTTTGCTTATTTTTTTATCACTTACCGTAAATTCCCAGACTAAATCTTCTTATTTCCATCTAGACTTTCTTCTTCACCTTGATTTTCATTCTCGGACAAGCACCCGATTAGAAACCAATAGGAAAACGTTTTCATCTCAAATTTAGTTTATACCTTATACAAAAATGGACAGGGAAATTAAATATAGTTCCGCTGCTTCCGTTTCCAAACTCCTATTTCACGGTGATTCTGTTATATGCCATCATCGTTTCGTCGTTCTACGCGTTGTCGCATCTCATCTTCTCCGCATCTTCAAATCGTTGGCTTGTCAAGCTCCGTCGTGTCTTCCTCCCTCCGTGACCTCTATTTTCCTCTCCAACCATCGGTGAACCAATCAGGGGGTTGATCTGATCTGTCGAATCTCTAAAAGAAACTAATTTTCTTATATTTGCATGACTGGTCCTTTAACTTTTGACTATTTACAAATTGGGCCTAAAATTGCAGATTTGCACAATTGCTTATCAATTAGGGTTTACACATCTAATTATGCAAATAACCCCTACTTTATGAAGATTAGTATGCAAATTCAATTTAATCTAAAATGAAAAGCTAAAACTATTCAAAATACTATCATCATTTAAAGATTAGCCATACTTATTATATTTACATGTACATAAACCGATATACACAAAAAAAATTATTATCCACATGTACACGAATTCATATGTACAACAGTTAATACATTTATATTTACATGTACCTGAACCGATATATGTATATAAAAAGTTAAGCAACATAAGTACATGTGAACAAGTTTACAAGTGTACAGAACTTAAATTTGTACATGTGTACATCGTATATAAAGCAATATCCCATGAAATCATGTTTGTCTTTTAAATATCTAAATGCAAGTTTTCGGCCAAAACACTAAAATCATATTTTCCCACAAACAAATTGTGTTATTTCTACAGCTTAATTTAAAATGCTCAAACCATAACACAAATTTGTCATTGGATAAACTTTAAACAAATGTTTAATTGGCAACTAATTATTTTATGCTAGCTATGAAATGTATACTCCATTATAAAAAAAAATTCTGAAAAATTGTGAAACCTCTTTTAATAATAT